TTAGTTGAAAATTTCTGGTTCACGACTAAGAAATATTTATATTCTTTGTAGAATATACAGTTGTCTTTGCTGTTTCCCTTGGGAGAAAAGAGTCGACATCAACGACTTTTAACTTTTTGAAAACAAAACAAAAGAAGGAAAATAAGACAAATCTGAGCCAGTGTTTGAAGGCAAAGGACTGTGGATGTGAATAAAATGTTCAGGTTTCACTACTCTCTGAGTAACTTCGACTGGACCGTGCCACCTTTTCCTCAGATGTGTAGGAAGAAGATGAAGTTCGTGGAACGGAGGCGTTCCATAAAGCTGTGTCTGGCTTTGGCTGTGCACCTGGCTCTGTCCTGGCTCCCATCTGCAGGACAGCCAGGTTCTCCTGGTGATGGTGTTTGTGATACAGCAGAAACGAGGAGGCAGAAATCCCATAACCTAGGAAATACTGAAAGTGGGACATCAGCTGGTGATGTGTGTTACGAATAAATGAATACCAAGGAATGGAATGGAGTCTGGCTGAGGCGGAACAGTCATTGGCAGGGCCAACAGCCCTTGGCAAGCCAGCAGTCAGAGAGGATTCTTAGAGGAGGTGACATGTGAGCAGATATTTGTAGTCGGTGAAAGACCTGGTCATGAGAATTGGCAAGTATTGTGTTCCTGGTCACTTTCTGAGAGTCCACTAGTCATCAGGAGGGAGTCTGACATAGTTGGGAAATATGGAAGCAACAAGAAGATGCTTCTAGTGGATCCTTGTCCTCACAAGCGCCTTTGATCTTTTCCACATTGTGTGTACATCAGATGTAGTGTGTGTGTGTGTGTGTGTGTGGGGTATGTATTTATCTACATTCTTAACTGAACTTCAGATATGTAGAAAGGTATATTTATCTTAAAGTTTCTTTCATCACTAAAAAGGTCTCTTGTGACTATTTGGGAGGCAATAAACAGATACCAGCTGCGCCTGCCATCCCATGCACTCCTCTGCTGATGCCAACATTGCCAATCTATTATGGAAGCTTCCTTTCCTGGTATCTTAGTTACATTTTTCATTGCCGAGACAAAATACCTGACACCCCAAGTTAAACAGAAAAAGGTTTATTTAGCTCACAGCTTGTAGAAGTTTCAGTCCTCAGTTGGCTGGTTCCAAGGCAGAGTGCCACATGGCAGAGGGGTGTCACAGAGGAGAAACAGTTCATGGTGGACAGAAGATAGCAAAAGCAACAGGGGACCTTAACAATGTCTTTCTGCCCTTTTATTTTATTCAAACTGCTTAGGGCAGGCAGCACTCACACCCTTAAACCTAGTGCCCTTGAGCCCAGCAGTGCACCATGAATCAGCCCCAACTTCACACACTCTAGATCCATCCTGAAAAAGCCTCACCTATGACTGCATGAGGCTTTGGGGGGACATCTAGACACAAGCCATGTACCTGAGTATCCTGCGTTGAAGGTAGACTTCCCAAGAGGAAGAATGGAACCTCTTGTTATTGTGAGCCCGTGCTCTGGGCTCTCCTCTGGTAGCCATACTTGTAATCTGTCACACAGACAAGAAAGCTGAAATAAGCTTTTCAGATTTAAAAAAAAAAAAAAGTGGGAATGAAACGCTTTTGGCATAGTCTAGTCCGAAGAGTGACGGCTTTCAAGGAATATTAGGAAAGTAGTATTCAGTGTATGCCAGTAGTCATGGAAACAGAGACTGGACTTCTGCCAACTTTCTGGTGCTATTGAAGTCACAATCAGACAACAGCTTGAAGATAAATATTTGGATACATACAGACACTTCATGTGGAAAAAAAAATACTTTAGGGTGAGAATTACAGATCTTTTTGCTCCAGTGAGGAAACGCCTCATAGTAAAATAAAAGTGTGAAGAATCTGTGAGAAGAAAGATAGGAGCAGAAGGTGGGAAGAGAGCTTTTACTGTGCGGAAGAGCCAGAAAAAAGCTAAGTTTGGGCAGTACAGGCCTGGAAAGAAGGATATTATGAGGTCCCTTAAAAAAACAAATAATAGCAATCCTATTTGACCCAGATATTCCCGTTAGGTATATTCACAGAAGAGTTAAAGTCATCACTTTACAGTGATCCACGCATACCCGTGCTCATACTCGCAGAAGCTTGGAAGCTGCCTGTGTGTCCGTCGTTGGATGGATGGATGAAGAAAATGCCGTATTTACACACAGTGGAAACTACTCTACCACAGTGAAGGACAAACTCAGTCATTTGCAGGAAAATGGGTGCACCTTGAGGAGTGTGAAACAGAATGGAGAAAGGACTGGGGATTTGGCTCAGGGGTTCCGCCGTCTGCCTCACAAGTGCAAGGTCCTGAGTTTAATCCCTGGTACCAAAAAAAAAAAAAAAAAAAAAAAAAAAAAAAAAGAACAGAGGCATGGTGCTATAGGGAGAGTTAGAAAAAGCATTTATTGTCACGTGAGTAGTGAGACTATATCTGCCCTTCCCCGGTTCGCCTATCTTCCTGGTGTTTACTTGTACATCTGGTATCATCTCGTGTACAAGTTACCAAGTGTAGGAGCCCTGACATCACCCAGTGAGGAGTTCGCAAATGGAAACAGAGTTTTGCTGGACGTTCCTGTTTGTGAACCGAACTGTTGGTGAACAGAAGCACTTGTGAACTGAGACAATTACTGTAAGAGTTTTCAGGTGTGTACTGTGCTGAGCAATGTGATGAAACATCATGTTGCTGCTCCGTCTTGCCTGAGATATGAATCGCCCTTGTTCAGTGTAACTGTGCTCTATATGTTACCTGCCCGTTAGTCATTTAATACCCAGCTCAGTTGTCAGATCGCTTAGACACTGCCGTGTTCAAGTAATGGTGCTTATCCTGTGTCCAGAGCATAAGAGCTTGTGTTCAAGTAATCTTTATTTTACTTAGTAATGCCTCCAAATCACAACACTAGGGATGCTGGAAATTTTATTCCAGTGTATGATTATAATTGCTGTATTTTACTATTAGTTGTCACTCCCTTACTGTGCCTAATTTATAAATTAAATTTTATCTACGTACAAATGTATGGGAGGAAAAGGCATGATAGGTATAGGGAGCTGCACTGCCTGCGGTTTCAGGCATTCACTGGGGGTCTTGGAATGTGTGCCCCATGGGTAAGGGGGTGGACAAATGTACCCATTCGCTGGAAAGATAGAAGTGAAAGAGGTCACCGCAGGAAAAGAACACCAGAACCAGCCACACCCACCTCTATGCAAAGTGAATGAGTCACTTGTCGTATTTTTGGAGTTTTGCTATGTTTTAAATTCAACTCCCTGCAGTGTAATAAAAATACCAAACTACTGATATGAAGGGTGGAAGAGGGTGAGGTTAATGCATATGAATTTAGATCAACAAGATTATTCATGGGAATCTAAGTAATGCTGTGCAAAGATTTGACAAAGGCAGGCTAAGACATCTTTTCTCTAACCTTGATGACCTTTACATCGGGCTCCCTCCCATCGGGTTCAGTTCATTTGCTCGCACCTATAAAAAGTGTGCTTTCAGTGAAGTTTTAAAGTTAAGCCTTTCCTTACTTGGCTGCATCTAAGGAACAAGATAATCATGGCAAACATGGTTTGACCCTGGTGCTCTTGCTTCTTTTGCTGCAGGTTTAAGATTGTATCATAATCTTAGCAGGGCCAGGTCCATCCGTCCCTTCCTCTCCTCATTAGCATCTCAGCCTTCACCTCTGCTTCCGTTTCTCCCAGGATAGGCTGCAAGGACCGCCGAGAGGGTGAGCTTCTGTATGTTTGCCAGACTCCCATGATTTAAGTATACAATTATACATGCTCTCACAGCAGGGTGTCTCACCCTCAGCACTGGTGACACTTCAGATAATTTTTTGTTTGGGGCTGCTTATGCATAAAGCATTTAGTGGTATCTCTGGCCTCTGTTTATCAGATGCCATTAGCAGCTTTCCTTCAGTTATGGCAACCAAAGCTATCTCTAGACATGGATCTGTCACTCCTGGTGAAGAATCCATTAAAATGAAGCCTGAGTTTTACAATTGGCTTTTCTTACCAAAAAAAAACCCCAACCAACCAACAAACCAAACAAGCAAACAAGCAAACAAACAACAGAATAATTTTGTATACTTTCTGCATCTTGTTTTTCCAACCCAAAACCACTGACAAAATTCTGTAAGTTATCTGATACAATGCTGTTTAATTACACTTAATAGCTTGCTAATATTCCATGGGGTGAATGTAGCATTTCTCGTGAAATGCTTATTGCACTATTATTGTATCTATGAGGATGACATGGTTTCCGGTTTCTGGTCTCCAAATCACAGGGCTGGAATGAGCACAGTACATGTACTTTTACAAATTTCCAGGACTGGAAATGTGTCATTTGCATTTTAGTTTAAAATTTTTTTTCCAGATTTCCCAATGGTAGTATTTAGAGAAAATTTTTAAAACTATAATTTTTGTAAGACTGATATTAACCTGAAACCTTAATGGCCGACAAAAGTGATTATTGAAGTGATTTTTTTTAACATGAAAAGAAATACTTGGAAATATTTGGAAGCTTGCCCTTTTCAATCCCAAAGAATAACATCTTTGTACAGGAAGAAGTCTGGGTGTCCAATTTAATTGTCAGATCTCTTAACTTTCATATTAGTCAAGGATTTTGACCAAAGACATCAGTTAAAATGAATGAAGAGAAAAGGAAATTGTACCTATAGTGTTATTTTTTTCCCTGTAATCAATATAACTCATGTTAAATATTTCAAGGCTAGAAATGAAAACTTCTAGTCCCCCTATTAAGTGATGAAATAATTAAAAATATGCCTTCTGAATTTTCTCAGCATTAGTGTGTACCTGAGACTCTGGATCAAACTCCACAACTAATATCAGCACGGTCTGAGTATTATGTGAACATCACATGACTAGTGAAAATAGTTCTGTGCTTGAGACTTTGGATCAATTTAATATGCTACTTTAATCCTTAGATACCTCGATGTCACCTTTAGGCAACATGATTTCATTTGTTCTGCTGTTTTCTCTTTTGTAGAGTTCTCTGGTTGAAAGAAAGAAGCTTAAGCTGACTTCTGAACTCTGAGATCCCACTGCAGAGAGGTAAGAAAATTAAGATTACTTTTTGGGTACTTGTGTGACTCAGCAGTCTGCCTTGGGAGATGTTATTTCTGATGGATATTGAGCTATAGGCAGAGCTGTCTTTTGCAAGTAGAGCCTGCTAGAATCTCCCCTGGATTTGCTTGGAGCAAAGTGCTTCACTACTTTTTACTTGGTTTACTTTAAAAAGAAAAGACAGAATGGATGGATTTGTGAACTCTGAATTTTATGACGCACTTCCCAGCTGCAATACGATTACAGCAACGTTCTCCAACCCACTGGGTGTAGGGATTGTTAGCCCTTAAGTCTTGGCCAAACTTCTGGGATTTGCTTGAAAGTTGCTGATATTACAGGAAGGAATTGTTCTGTCAGTTTCACTCAAGGGAGGCTCTTAGACTTCCCTAATTCTTCTTTTCTCTTATGTTGTTTCTTCTAATAGGTAAGTTTCTTTCACCGTCCTGTCCGCTTTTTGGGCTCAGGTCAACTTGCAATAGAAGAATCCCATTTGTTCATGGGATTTATAAATAGTTCCCATTTACAAGTAGTGTCACAGCATTACATTTAGGGAAAGAGACACCTAAAAGTCATTCCATCAGTGACTTAGCCTAGCAACTGTTACAATTTTGTTGCTACTTTTATGTGTATTCTTCATTTCATACCTATAATTTGAAATTTAACTTGATTTTTAATAAATAATACATGCACACAGGGCAAATAAAATAAAGACATGACTCTTCCCCTTTGCCCCGTGACAACTTGTTCCCTTTTCAGGACACACCTGATTTACTGGTTTATTGGGCCTTTTAGAGTATTTGTGCTGTTTATGAGCTGTTGCTATGCTAAACAGTCCTTTAATGAACGAACATATTTATATATGCTTGTCATTTGTCATAAGTGTGAGAATTTGAACTGAAAGAACAGGATACCACTCAACATCTAAAGCAAAAACCTGACTTTACTGTTTGCTAGACAAGGGGCAACAATCCTTTTGCACAGTTATATCAGGGCAAAACAACCTGATCTCGGAGGGCTCGGGAGCCTTGAACTCAGGAATTGAAGCACTGTCCACAAGCAAGAGTGTTTAAATATTGCTTGACTTTGAGCCACGGAAACTGGGTAATTGGAATGTGTGTGCTTCTGATAAGTCGGCAGTCAGAAGTATGGCAGTGTTACTGGTCGTCTGGCTTCAGAAATATGTGACATTGTAACCAAATGGCTGGCTTTTAGACGTGTGGAGTTGTTACTGACTGGCTTGTTTTCAGAAGTGTGTTACTAAAATTTTTACTGTTTGATTCAGTGGTTGTAAAACAGGTTATGGTGGTGAGTTATTTATGCCTTGAGACTATTGCTGAAAAACCAGTATCCTTTCTCCTTAAATTTGGGGTAGAGGAACTTTAAATTCTCAACTACACAAGAAATTCATGGGAAATGGAATTGCTGAGTCAAAAGTGTTTGTTTTTTTTGTTCACTTCCATAGAGATTTATCAGTTTACACTCCCATCAGTAATGAATAACAGTGCTTATTTCTCCACAACGTAATATATCATCATGTTTTTGACTTTTATTTACTTGTACTTGAAGTTTTTATTGTTGCCTATTTCTTAAAAGTGTAAAACTGAGAGTTTCTGTATGACCGAAAAAAAAAGCAATATTTTATTTACTAGAAGTTTCTCCCTATTTTCAATTGAGGTGTTTAAATATTGATTTTAACATAATTAACACTGTGCATTGAGAGTTGTAATATTCCCCAGTATGTGCTTTTTTTTTTTTATGGTATTTGGAATAAAAAGATGTTTTGACATAGTTGGATTAATTCATTATTGCATTGTTTTCTGGATTGTATATTATAGTTAGATTATTTTCTCATCTAGGGATTAGTTTTTTATGCTTTTTACTACTATTTTCATGGCTTCATTTTCTTGAATTTACATTGGTGTAAGCCTGAAGGAGAAATACAGATTTTTAGGTAGATGCTAAGTTGTCCAGTTTCTTGGCTAACACATTATTTTACCAATAACTTGAAGTATCATCTTTGATCAAAACTAAACTTTTATAATGTGTTTATTTCTGACTTTTTCCCTCTGAGTCATTGACTGAATCATTAGTCATGACATCACACGTGCATTTCTGTTTCGTTGGGCGTTTCCCTTATCAGTGTTTCTTCGTTTCTTTTCTCATTGCAGAAGCAGCCGTGAAGCAACCCTCCCTTTCCCCTTTATCCTACTCAGGCTACAAGCCTTTTGGGTGGCCTGCTCACCCTGAGTGTAGGCCTTCTCATTATCCACACCCAGAACTATACTAATTCCAATCAGTGGACGAATTTAGTACCAGACACCCTTAATCCAGTATCACATACCCTAGATCCAGCCATCTCAAAAATGTCCCATCTAGGAGTGCCTAAGGCACTTAATGCCTGAGGGGACATTTGGTATTTACATTAAGTGAACAGTCTATGATTTTACTTAACAACTTTCCTTCTTGTAGCTCATCCTTTAATACTGGGAGATTTTGGTTATGAATCAGCAAATTGTTTTTCAAACTTATTTTATTCCATAAACCACCACTTTGGAGGACCACTTTGGAGGACTGTTTTCTCAGGCTGTCCTTACCTGGCCACCATTTTATGTCTGCTAGAGGTTGTTTCAAGTGTCTGGTATGTCCCCTTCTGAGCCAACAGTATCTCATGGTTACAACACTTAGTGAGGTAAGACTGACAAATATCCTTTAAAAACCACGTATATGTCATGAAATTAAAGATAAAATCTGTTGGATCTTTTAAATTTGCAAATGAACCATGACACATAAAATTTAAAGAGAAATGTCGTAGTTTCAAGTGATTATTGAAATAGCTGCTCACATGATTTCGTTTTCTAGCATACTTGCACTAAAATCAGCTATTTTTTGCAGATGATTCAGAAACACTGAGCTACAATGGTAGTAAATGTTTGTGAGTGTGAGTGTGTGTGTGTGTGTGTGTGTGTATATATATATATATATATATATATGTACTTGGGAATGTGAATGTGTACTGTGTGTGTTAAAATAAAAGGCTCATACTTTTAGAAGTTTCACTATCAGTTAGACGCCTTGAGTGGGGCCTATGGGAGTGCAGCATTGCAGAAGTGGGTGTGGATCAAAACCATGTACTTCATGACGGAGAAGTGAGGAGAAAGGTAGAAGAAAGGAAGGGCTTGGGTCCCCTGATCCCCTTCAAGGATAAGTTCCCAAAGATAGAGGATAACACTAATATTTATGTGCTTCAGAAGACTAATTTTTATTCAGAGGAAGGGAGGGAGGGAGAGAGAGAGAGAGAGGAGGGAGGGAGGGTATTATTAGTTTGTCCGCAGTAACAGAAGTGAAGTTTCAACTCAGGAACAAATTCCCTTTTTGTCTTGGACTTTAGTCTTTTTCAGTGGTTGTGGATGGAAAAAGTTAAAGCCAAGTAGTTCAAGCAAGTTGATCTCTCTGCATTTCTCAGAGGAAACCTTGTTCTACAGGCATCAGTAATATCTCCAATACATTTTAGGGTGAAACGGCCAGTACTTTTAGCTGAGACTATTTGTTACTCGGGTAAAATTGAGATTATTTATTACTTAAACTCCTAAACCCTCAATGGATGTAATTCATCAGTCTTTTTACACTAGAATGGATAGTAGTTCCTGGCCAAAGAGGGTTGAAGTTACTCACTCAAGATCACTCAAGTCACTGATGAGAAAAAGAAATGTGGGCTTGTACGACGAATGTCATCATTCTAATGAAAAGGCTTATGCTGTGTGAGGTCATTATTATGAATTATAGGGTAGATCAGAAGACTCCAGCAAACACAATTGCATATGGTTGGTCAACATAATTCCCCTCATAATGTGTTTTAAGAAGAGAATAAAGAATGATTGGTTAGATAGGGTTTTCTCATTTTGTTTCTGACGCAGGCAAGTACTCTCTCTAAACTCTGAAAAAAGCTAAGACCTTCGCTACTCCCATGAATATGCTATACTCCTTCAAAAGAGTTGACGAAGGAGAACAACAGAGAGTGTGGAGTTCCATAAAAACACTTGCAGACTCTACATGAGAGTTTTCTGGTCATCACATCCTTTCTTTTGTACCAAACCATTATTTCTGTGATACATCCATTTGTCAGGTTTCTGTTGCTGTAGCAAATGTCTGAGATGTCACCTTATAAAGATGCTTACACTTCTAGAAGTTTCACTATCAGAACCCTTGTGTGGGGCCTAAGGGAGTACAGCATTGCAGAAGTGGGTGTGGATCAAAGCCATGTACTTCATGAAGGAGAAGTGAGCAGAAAGGTACAGGAAAGGAAGGTCCCCTAATCCCCTTCAAGGATAAGTTCCCAAAGACCGGAAGACCTCCCACTAGGATCCACTACCAGCTCCCTCCCAGTCGTGCCATTATGGGGGGCAAATCTTTACTACATGGACCTTTGGGGTCACTTGAGACTCAAATGATAACATTTGTCAATGATATCTCAAACTGAGGTCTCTTCTCAAATATCATGAGGAACGATGTTGGCAAAACTTGTCTTAGGGCAATAAAATGTAATGAATATTGAATTTCTAGGGGTGAGGAGGGCACACGGCAGATCCTACTGGAGCTACCTTAATACCCACTTCCGCATGGGTGTGGTGGTGAGAACCTGTGATCCCAGAATTCTGGGAGGCTGAGTCAAGATTTCAAGTTTTAGCCCAGCTTAGGTGACTTAGTGACTTAGTGAGATACCGTCTCAAAATAAAAAAGAGGAAAATGGCTGGGATGTAGATCAAAGGTTCTGTGTTCCATCTTTAGTACTGTACAGGAAAAAAAAAAAAAGCAAAAGGGAAACAGACTCCACCATTCTGTGGACAGACCCTACCCTTCTGTGGCATCATAGAGAAGACCCTAGGCTGGCCTGAGAGCCTCAGGATTCAGCTTCTGAAGCTGGAATAAGAAGTCAATTTACATCCAGCAGCTTCCATCTGGAACAAGTTTTATGTAGTCCAGATGGAACT